CACTGAATGAATGAATGAATGGAATGCCGTTTAGGGGACACCGCCAGCCTTCTAAATGATTTCCCTTGAATTAAATAGCAAAAAATATTGCAATAATATTACGCAGACAAAATGTTTCTTGGACCTTGCCCACCCACCCGTGGGATTTTCATTTATTTGGTTTGCTAAAAGCACTTTGAATTTAATTCATTTAGAGCAATAATTTCTTGGGTTGTGTCTGCAAGTGAGAGTTCTGAATTCTTACTTCAAGCTAAAACTAAAACTAAAACTTAATTAAGACGAGCTTCCATCAGCTGGTTATAGATTTTTCAGCAGATAGTTCTGGTCTTTGAGTGACTAGCAATACATCCCCGACCAACAATTTGTGGTCTCACTCAAGATTTTGTCACTTTTGGGCACCGCAAGGAAAATTCGTAGATGGAAGATCCCATCCGATCAGCGATCTGCTGTATTCGGGCCATTTGCCGCATTCGTTATGGTTATGGTTATGGTTATGGCTCTGTTGGACAATGAGTGGCCAAATGGTCGAAACGAAACGAAACCGACTCCGACTCCGAGTCCGAGTCCGAGTCGGGTTGCAACAGCAACAGCAACGCAGATGGAGGAAAATTCAATTTAGTGCCACAGCCACAAAAACAAAAACAACAAATAAATAAAAATAAAAAATAAAACAGAAGAAAAAGGCAAGCAGGCAGGCAGCAGCAACAGCAGCAAAAACACAACACTACAAGGAATAAAAAAAAACACCGCAAAAGCGAGTGGCGAGTGCAATAAATTGTTTCATTCGCGGCACGACGCGCACCTGACACATAAGCTCCGAATTGTCGTCTTCATCTGGCTCTGCCTGGAGTCGGAGTCGGAGAGCCCGACACAGCCCGAACCCGATACCGATCCCGATCTGGCCACAACCCTCCCCTCCCCTCCCCTCCCCACGGAACAGACCAGACCATCACAGAGCCTGGCCAAAGCCAATCGAGCGGTTGGAGCAGCGGCCTGGCCTCTACATGGTTTGAACATCTGGTGACTCTTGCTGTGAGGAGAGTAGCAGTGCACAGTGGTGCACCACACAAAGAACCACTGAAGATCTACACTGGCAGATCGTAAAAATAGCAATTATTCGTATACATTCGTACATATGTACATTGCATGTATGTTTGCATGTAGATAGGTACAGGTAGAAAAAACACGACGCATAAACGTGATTTTTACTATATTTAGCTTTAATTTAATTTGAACATACTCAATCAATTAGGAAGTGAGCTCAAAGTGCTCTGATTGGAATAGTAGATGAGGCTTTCATTTCATTTTGAAGGCAGTTCTTTAGGCAACATGTTTTGAGAGGGTTTGAATCGAATATTTCAGGCAAAACCATGACTTGGATACAAAATTCTATAATGTGTAGGCATAAATAAATATGTAGACCTGTGCGCCATTATATTACGATTATGTGTTTTTATCACACATTCATTATTGGTCTCTTTGCCAGGGCGATCTGAGTTTGTGGAATGAGATCAGATGAGCTGGCACCAACCACTGTGCCATGGCAGAGGAACAGGAACAGGAGAAGGAGGCAGAAGCAGTGGCGGTGGCGGCACTGCAATTATACGCCATGGCTGGCGGGGGCGATGGCGATGGCGATTCAGGCGACGGTGCAGCAGCAGCGGCAGCGGCTGCGGCAGCGGATTGAGCGGATTATGCGAGAGCCGGCGCTGGGCAGCAACGATTACGATGACGAGGTCGGATATGGTATGTGGTATGAGGATGTGGATGTGGATGTGGATGGGGCAGAGGACGAGGACGAGAACGATGTCGTATTGCATCTGCACATTTTCTGTTGCTGTTGTTGCAATTTTCATTTTATGCCACCGCGGGCAAAGGGGTCTCTGGAGTTGAGCTTCGGTTCCACACACAGAACCGTGCAAAATGATTACAGCTTCAGGTAAGGGGGGTGGGTGGGGAAGGTTGGTGGGTGGGGGGTTGGCGGGGGCGCTGCGGGCGGGGGGGTGGTGGGGGGGGTGGGGGGGGGGGGGGGGGGGGGGGGGGGGGGGAGTGCCAGTTGTCTGGTCTGCTCGGGCCCGCGGCCTAGTGGCTTTCCACCTCATTATAACTTGACTTTACTTTGCTAATTCATGACGAAATATGCTAATTAATAGCCGGCAAAAGGGCACCCAGAAGAGCCAGAGACTCGGACGACAGAAATATGTACATTCAGCCATAAGAGGAACAGAGTGAGCGACGCAGAGAGACGCGTCTTGGATCCCACACGGATACGGAAAGAAGTCATCAAACCTAATGAAGAATGATGAGTCCATTAGGAAGGCAACTTATCAGGCCATTAACGATACGCAGATGTAACATGTCATACAGGTGGGTTATATGCCTGCCTGCCCCGGTATCAATCAAGTGTAAGGTTGCTTCATTTTGGTTACAATTAACTCAATTTGGAATTTCCGGAAGATTGTGTTGGAGATTGTGTGCATGTGTTTAAGATACATAAGTAGATCCACAAAGCGTTTAACAAAAGAATATTTAGTTATATTACTTATATTATTTCATGCAAACTAGCATTCTATTCTATTGCTTTGAACAGTTCTCATAAGTCAACAGCAGATCAAGGCTGCTTAAATAAATTTATTTCAATAGTTAATGGTTAATGGCTCTCAACACTATCGTGTAGGCATCGCGAGTAGACCAAGTACTATGTATCTGCTATAAAAATACCTAGTTAGCAAAGACCCTTTATTTTTCTTTAGCCATCTGTGAAAGCCCTGTCAGTGGTGGTGCGGCTGCTGCTGGGACAATCAACAAATTCATTTGCACTTCCATTTAGCACGTCTGCCCAACACTGGCACTGGCACTGGCACTGGCCATTGCACAATCTGGAGGAGACAAATTCATTTGCCATTTCTTAAGTTTGTTTGCTTTGCGGTTGGCATGGCTTGGCATTGCTTGGGTTCGGGGAACGGAGAGGTGCCGCCACCGCAGGTGCAGTGATGCATTTGGGCCCCTGGTTGGCGCCCATTGGGATCGCCTGAGCGACAATTTTTGCTGGCACTGAAGCATGAGATCGGAGAGGGAGAGCCGTAGTGAAAGAGGTGCCTAAAGAGCTTTTAGTCTGTCATTATAACCAGGCACTAGTACCTGTAGGGTAGCTGTATATCAGGGCTACATGTTACACAATTAATTTGATTTTGTCTTCCACTTTCAAGTTGTTCTTCGAATTGTTTGTTATTTTCAACTGACTGCATCTGTTTAAGGGGTATGCCCTAGTCCATAATGTTGAGGTCGCTCTTTGTCGCTTTGCTCTGTCACCTGGCCAACGTTGAGATCAGTTTATCTGGTAAACGGTTACGGTTATACCCGGTTTCGGTTGCAGGTTGCCAGTTGCAGGTTGCAGCGAAACGAACGAAACGAAACGGAAAGGCGTTAAGAGAGGGCATGGCATGAAGCGAATAACAACTGGAAAAGTCAACTGCCGTTCTATTGCTAATTATAAGCATGGTGTAAATTTACAATGCCTGTGTTTACAGCTCACGAACAAGCGATTATATGGCTATATAGTTATGGCCTCCGCTGTGTGACACGGCACCCCCGCACACCCGAACCCCAACCACACCCGTGTGTGTGTGTGTGTGTGTATACAAAAAGACACTCGAATATACGTATTTGTATTTGCACCTGTATGCTATATAGTATAGACATGTGCGATTTGACAAAGGCAGAGACAGAGACAGACGGAGACGGAGACAGTGAGAGATAAACAAGAAGACAAAAGGCAAATGTCGGAAGAATTCTCATTCCACTTGCTACCGTTCCGCCAGTGAATTTTTCAGTTGTCTTCATTTGTCATTTCGTATCCGAGAGATGAGATGAGGAGCACGGCATGGAACGGAACCCCCAAAAGAACAGAAACAGAACACCGAGCAAGCACAGATATTTGCACATTTAATTTAATTTATTGTTCATCGGGCATCGTCACTTCGGCGTATAGGAAATCAATGTTCAGGCCTTGAAGCGAGGAGGAGAATAAAAATCACAATGCTGTGCCATGGGAACCACACACATGTATGGGGGGGCTACAACATGGGAGTGAAAGGGGTGGTGCTACAAGTCATAATAATTTATCTATTCTAATTCAAAACAAAGTTTGAAGAGAACGCAACGGAAAGCGAACTGACAACTTCAGCCAACGAATTTATCAAAATGATATTTTTCCTCAACTATTTCTGAATCTTTGAATTAGGAAAAATTCAGTTTTTAATACAAATTTTCCCCATAGATGATTGCATTCCATGAAATCCATTTCAATGCCTTCAAATAAAATGCGAACAATTGTTCATGCACTTGCCATTAAAGTGGTTATAATCTCGAGACCGAAATATGCAATAAAAATACAGGTATGCACACACAGAATTTTCATTTGATTGCCTAATAAAATTCGGTTGATTTGGTTATTTTTCAGGCAAAACGTTTCACTATATGTATGTATGTATGTAAATGTCTATCGAATTTCTTATTTTACTTTTAGTCTCTCTATCGATGAAAAAATCAGAACAGAAAGATATGTTGATATGTCTTTTAGCTTGACATTCCATTAGATTAAGTAAAACTCATGTTTTCATCTAAGTTCAATTGGAAAATGGACTTTAGATAACTTGACATGGCGTTAAGTAAGCTCTACTGGAAGTACAGGGTCCCAAGTAGCTCTCATTCGGGACGAACAACCTCAGGCGGTGGGCAGTATAGCGAAAGGGCTAACCTCGTGGGCCGACTATACTGAGTATATATTGGGTTATCAGGCTCATGCTCTCATGCTGAAACAGTCGCAAAAACTTGTTTAAAAATGTCCTAGGATCTGAAACATTTCGTGTGCTATATTTGGCAACCATTTTATTATAGCTAGAACATTTCGAATCTCGAATGGTATCTCTGTGCAAATAACTAAATAGCTTTTAGAAAAATGATTATGGGTCTCTTTAGGTTTTAATCGTTTCGCTCACCTGTGTGTGTGTGTGTGTGTGTGTGTGTGCGTGAATGCTTGGTGTTTGCGTTTCGATGTTTCCTTTGTTGCAAGTGATATTTTCTCTCCTCAGTTGTTCTCTTGTTGTAGTTATTGCAATGTTGCTCTCACACATGCACGCATACGTTGCATATGTTTATACATCAAAATGCACCTGAACACACATAAAATATGTATTTAAAATTGATTTGTTTTGTTGTTAAATTTGAATCTCTCGTTTGTTGTTGCTATTGCCTCTCTCTCTCTCCACGGCTGCTACCCTCGCTGCCTGTGGGCATTTTATTTTATTTACGTTCGGTATTTTGTTCATTTTAATCACATTTTCATTAACATATTGAGTGTGGTTTTCTTTGTTTTTTGTTTAGTTTTAGTTTTTAGCTGGAAAATACATATGGATATTATTTGTTTGGGGGATGTTCGCAAGCGTTACGATGCACGGTGCCTGGAATTTCTTGTAAATGATTTTCTTTTCTTGTTTTCTTGTTTTTTTTTTTTTAATTTTCTTCCTCCTTTCTTCTTGTTTCACATTCAATTGGACACGCACGTGCACTATTTTTTCGCGTTCAAATTTTTACAATAATTTTTGGTTGAATGTCCGTCCGTCCGTTTGTCCGTTTGTCCGTTTTGGTTGCTGCGACGACAGGCAGAGGCAGCAACGCCGCCGCTTTTAAAAACGGTTATAAAATCCGCACGACACAAAAAATTGTTTTGCGCGATGTCCGCCGCCTGCTGCTGCTGCTGCCAGTGCTGCCACCAGTCGCTGCTTCTGTCGTCGTTGTCGTTGTCGCCATTTTTATGCACTTTGCACTCGCTCGCACACACACACACACACACTCATGCATGTGCAGCCAAAGCAGCGCTCTCTTTCTCTCTCTCACACACACCCGCACCCGCACCCGACGACACGACAACGACAACGACAAACGACGACGACGACGACGACATACAATCAAAAACTCATTCGGCTACTTGGGCGCACACGCCCCCTCAAAAGCCCCTACAGGACAGTACACACACACCCACACCCACGCCAGAAGGACAGAAGAGGGATGAGTGCAGAAGGTGGTACATGGGTCGGGTGGGGGAAGGTATGTTCTAATAAAATGCCAGAAGCAAAGAGGCCATGGGATGGGGGAAAAACGTGCGACAGCAACAGCGCGACCGAAGGTTTTTTTCGTGCGCTGCTTGTGACTCTGCTTGGCAGTCCGACCAATGACACCCGACGACAATATTAAAGAACGCACACCGACACGCAAGCAGTCTCTCTCACACACACACACACACAACAGAGAAAACGAATCACAAAAAACGAAATGTCGTCGTCGTCGTCGTCGTCGTCGTTTGCTTGATCGCGGGAGGGGATGTCGCCGTCACTGTCGTTGGGGCGCTACCACAGATGCTGGGGAACACAACGATGAAAGAAAAAAAATAAGAACGACGACCCGAACATCAAGGAATGGAACGTTTGTTGTTGGCGGGGGATGGAGGGGGTCCAATGTAATCCAATCGAAACGAGAACAAATACGCACACGCACGCACACACACACACACACATTTGTGGTGTGGGTGGAGATGGAGAGGTTATAAAAAACGAACGCATTTGAAGCGGTCGAAACCAATCCAAGAGAAGAAGCAGTGCAAGAGGATGGTCGCACTGGCTTTCTGCTTCAAAAGAATAAGCAGTGCAAGGGAGAGAGGACATTAAAAGCAGTACAATCAGAAGTAGAAGTAAAAGCAGTGTCAGCAGAGCAAGGGAGAGGCCGATACTAAAATAAGTGGGGGTGGGCAGGCATCGGACCAGAGCGACAAGCGACAAACGACGACACTTTTTGCCAGTGCGAGTGGGACAGAGACACACAACACACACAACACACACACACACACACGTAATGGGAATGTGGGGATGGGGTGGTCATACTCCATGCGTGGCCAAACCATTCCCCCACCCACATCTGTGCATCGTATCCTTTGGCCGAGGGGCGGAGCGCGCACTCTGCAGATGTGTCTGTGTGTGTATTTAACCCCCGAAACAAACCGTTAGCAATTTACCCAATACCCTGGAACGACCCCTACACGAAATCGGGACTGGGACTGGGACTGGCACTGGACGGACCTGCCTCCCTTGCCAACACCCAGCGTCGACCAGTGTTCGGGCTGGCTGGGCGACACTTCCCAGGGTAGACATTTTTTATGCGCCAGCAATGTGTTTGTGTGTGTGTGTGTGTGTGTGTGCAGAGAGGAGTCAGTCGCCTATTTATATACATATGTACGTATATACCACGTAGATCCTGTCATTGTGTGGGTGCTGAGCACTCTTCCTCACCCACTGCACGGACTCCTCCTTGGGGGTGAACATAAACTCCCCCACGGCACTTTGCCTCTTGCACTGGCACTGCTTTATGGGAGGGTGGGTGCGCTGGGTGCACTGCTGCAGGTCTCCTCAACTGCTTTCTGTGTGGGTTGATGTTGATGCACTTCTCCGATGCTTTCTTGAAAAGGTGAATCCTCTTACACTGCTCTCTGGATCGGATGCACTACGCCTGAACTGCTTCTTCCGTGAAGGGGCAGCCCGGGTGGTGGGGGCAGTGCACAACAATGTTTTCTTTGAGCGCTCCTTCTGGCTTCCTGGGCCGTTCACCCTGCCGCCTCAACTGTTATGTCTTCAACATTTTTGTTTGTCTCAAATTTATCATTTTCACAGCATAAGCAACAGAAAAAAAATGAATACAACTTAAAAAATTCGCACCAGGTTGAAGAGTGTTGTTGTGATTCTCAGGGCTATTGGGGGTTCGGTTCGGTTTGGTGCTCTCCGGGGGCTCTTGCTGGCGTTTTGTCGTTTTAGCGACGGCAAAACCACACGCGCGCCCAGCAACAACAGCAAAAACAGAATAGAATGGTCCGCAGAGCAGTGCGGATGGAGAGGCAGAGGAGAACATGCGAGAGGCAGAAACAACAACGACAACGACGGCGACGGTGGGCGGACGGACGGGCGATGGATGGCGACAAGCAGTCCAAAAAAAAACAAAAAAAAAAGAGCGACCGATTCCCGAGGGTTTACCGTTCTTGCGATGCGGTGCGATGCGGCAGCGGCAAGTCGACGTCGACGTTTGAAATCACGTCGCTGCCGTCGCGGTGGTTGCTGCGGCTGCGGCGGCTTGATTCTGCCGTTGACTCTGCTGCTGCGCCTCTTTGGCGCTCGTGTGAGCCAACGACACGCACACTCGAAGGGGAGTGCTGTGTGTGCACATGTATATATATTGAAGCAAGCAGCGGCCACTGGTGGCCAGCACACTCACACACACGCGCAGCTAGAGAGAGAGAGAGAGAGAGAGACGTCCGCCACAACTGTCCATGCAGTATTGCCGGCTCGCTCACTCTTGGGCGCTCACGCCCAAGCACAACAAAGAGGTGTAAGCAGAGCAGGAGAAGCGAAGGCAAGCAGTTTTCAAGCACGCAGAAGAGGCAAAAGCAATCATCAAGCAGTGCAGTGCTGCTTTTAAGAGAGTATGAGTCGACTCGTTCGGCTCTCTTCAATGCATCAGCAGCTCTCTGCTATCACTTCGTGCACCCTACACTGCTGCTTCTGCTGCTGCCGCTCATCGTTTACAGTGGCGCTTAGTTGTGGAATGCTGGAGAGGCCAAGCAACGTCGAGCAGTTCGTGCGATGCAGGAGATCCCACAAAGCAGGATGGCCGAACCGAGAGTCCGAATCGAGTGGTGCTCTAATGAAATAATTAATTACGAGTACAAGCAGCAAATCCCCAGCCACATCGATGGGTGCACCACCCATACGAGAGTTCCTCTTACCTCCACCACGCACACACTGCACGATGTACATATCTGGCGAAGAAGGTACCGGGACGGGGCAATGGCTGGTGTGTGTCACTTGTGGGTAGGACCGAACTCGGACTCCCTCTGTGACCACTTCAGAGGGTGTGCAGCGAGTGGGGTGGGGCTGCCATCGACTTTAATTAAATCACATTTCGGGATTACTTTTAAAAGGTTGTCTGTGAGAATTTCCATTTAAAATGGAATGCCCGCATACAGTATTATGTACATATACTTAAGATATAGATTTATTCTTCGTTTCCACTGGGGCACATTCTGAAAAATTCTCATAAGCGATGATAACTGATTGGGTATGAATAGGAACTAAACAATTATTTCTATTCATTTATTTGTTTTGCTATTTATAATATTTATAATCCATTTGTATCTGCATGTGTAGCACCGTGCAGCCAAGAGCATTTATCTATGCAGATCTGTCCAAAATGTTCCATTTTAAAACTGCAGATTCTTTAGCCAATCTTTAAGCTTACAAGACTACGACTAAGTATAAGCCTTCGGCATACTCAAATATTATTAAAAAACTCATTCAGCTCATTCATTCACTCAATTATGATTAATTTGTTATTATTTTCTATATTTGCATCTTCAATTGTCAGTTCATTGTATGATCTGAACTCGAATTTTTAAATTGAATTGATGAATTTTTAAATTTATTTTATCCTTAACTGAAGCTGGCTAATTTGTTTGAAAAGTACAAAGTTCTTGTTTGGGTTGTTTTCTTTAAATAAAAAGTTTGAAATATTTAGCTTCAGTGAGGCTTTTACACTCCTTTTAATATAAAGGAGGAAGAACGTTGTGAGAAGCTACAAGAGCAGCGTCACCACTGGTTGTACTGTGAGTTTGTATCTGTAAAATTCGGAACTGCGCTTTTTCTCTTCTTGTATATTAAAAATGATGGATGCCACGGATTCAATTGAATTCAATTGAACTTATGTGTCTGATTATAATTTCTGGACAATTTAAATTTGTAAGCGTTCTAATTTGCGAGATTCTGCTGTACTTGCTTACTGCCTGTTCCTTGCCTCTTTAAGCTCGGGCAATCAATTTGTTAAAGCTGCATGCCCCCGCTCTTATCCTGTCTGAATCTCAAAGATGCGCAACTTCAGTGGGGGAAATTGCACTACAGCCAAAGCAAATGTCAATTGCATACAAATAAACGAATCTACCCTACCATTCATATGTGTGTGTGTGTGTGTGTGTTTTACTGTATCTGCATCTGCATGTGTACCTGTGTGTGTGTGTGTGTGTGTGTTGCTGGTTGTATTCTCGGATTTGTAGACAGATTTTGTTTATTGGACACACAAGTAAATGGTCATGTATCTGCCAGATACTCTTATGTGCTACCATATCTATATATTCTCTGCATATGTATCTGTATCTGTATCTGTATCTGTATCTGGGATTATATCTTTGACTGTGTGTTTGTTCTTATTGCTGAACGAAGTTCTCTGTGCATCCGTAAACGGTTGTGGTACGGATGTGCCGTACGTACGGGTGGCGGTCAAATCGTAATCGCAGCTCCATCCAGGCACCTGCCCCACAGCCCTGTCCACAGCCACATCCCTCTCTCCAGACCCCGTCTCCACTCTCTACTCTCCAATCAACATTCGTGCCACATAGAGCTCTCCCGTTCCCCCACACACGCCCTCAAGGCAAGGCCCGACAGAGTGCGCGCGGTAATCCTCGGTGGTCGCTGTGGAAGGCTGGGCTGTGGTAGGGCTATGGGGCGTTGGGGCGTTGGGGCGGACGGCGGAGCCCATGTGACACATGAAATGTGTCGCCTGCTTCCATACACCCACCCACCCACTCGGGCAGTGCGGCAGGCAGGCAGGCAGGCAGGGGCCCCCATGCCAGGTGCACCTACTCCCAGCACATTGGTCGAGGCGAACGGATGGCTGCGCATGGCCCGAAGAGAGAGAGAGAGAGCCGCCACTCTATTGCTCTCTCGTTCGCTCTCCGCCTTTGTCTCTCTCTTGCTCTTGCTCTCGCTCTCGCTCTCGCTCTCGGTGGGCTACTCCCGTCGGCTAAGCAGTGCAGGCTAGGCAGCGGTCCAGTTATTTTGCTTTTTGCATGGGGTCAGAGGGATACCTATACGGAAATTCCGAATTTTATCGCAGCACTTCACTCCACCCAGGGAATTATGATAACGTTTATAATCAGTATAAATGCTAATCTCACACACACCACCATACGCAGACACACACACACACGAGCGATGGGTATGCGCGTCAAGGTCGCGGCTCAAATTGCAGCTAAAGAAATCCCCAAGTGATTTGCTCTGTGCTCTGTGTGTGTGTGTGTGTGTGTATTTTGGCTGGGTGGAGGGAGGTGAGTGCAAGAGATTCTTTTGGCTGTGTGCTGGAACCAGTTTTCGAGATGCTTCCCCGACACCACCTCCATGCGAACATTGTGGGGGCCTTGGGCGTGCGACTCCACGCCGAATCACGCCCCCTTTCGCATACAGAACTTTTGGTTCTGCCTTAACTATGAGAAATTGCCGGGCATCATCTAGATATGATTAGAGTTGGGCCATACACATCCATTATCCACAGAGGACCACGCATGCATCGCGGCAGAGCGGACATGGAAATGGAAATGCAAATGGAAAGGGCACCCACAGTTGCTAGTAAACAGTTTGAGAGCACTTGAGGAAGATCTAAGTGTGTGATGGGGGAAGTTTTAGGTGCAAAAATACAAACAAATATCCAAATTCATAGATTCATTCGTAGATTATAATTGGATATACTTTGGAGAATTGTAAATATTAATAAATTCAAGCAGCTTACGATTTGTTTTGATCTATTTGATAGTTTCCAAGAATATTTGGAATACTCCCAAGTGGATGCTTTATTTTCCAGTGACGCTATTAGAGTATTGCAAGCTTTTGAAACCTTTCTAGCTGGAGTTTCGTGGCTTTCAAGCTCTGCAGTTTGCAAGGCTTTCAAACAAACGTTGAGTGCATTTCTGGCCTTTATTCTACCACCGCGATCTTAGCGGAAATTCTTTCTCTTGTTGACCAAAATGTTCAGTTAAAGGGTCAGCCCCGTTACGCCCCACCATGGAAATACACCTTTGGGGGCTGACAAGAATGAGAGAATGGCATATGGGATGTGGGAAAATGGAAATGGGAGTACGAGAAGAAAATAATGAGAGCTAGAATGGGCAAGGGCATGGCCATGGGCATGGGCATGGGCATGGGATAAACGTAACGAAACGAAACTAAACGAAACGAAATAGAAAGGCATATTGTTCGATTCACAACATTTTCAAGAGCGTTAATTTGTGACATGAAGATAAATGTTGTCCGCTCCGCTCTCCCTTCTCTCTCTCTCTCTCTCTCTCGCTCGCTCTACGCCTTTCCGCCCCTTCTTTGGTGAACGCCCTGCTGCCCCTGCACCTTCACCTTGCCGCGTTCTAATGTGGGGGAACGACCCGCTGTACGCTGGAGAGGAGAGGCTATCGAGAGGCTAGTGAATGTATTGTAGCCATGGCAAATGATCAAAAGCCAAAGCCGAAAACGAAAACGAAGCCACAGCCACCGATTAGGACGTAGGTCGGCGGACGGGGACGCAGAAGAAGTATTGAAATCATGCCAAGTCGGGGCCAGCGATACACTGAAACAAATCTTTACCAACATTTGGGATTTCAATATAAAAATTTAATATTACTTAGCAGCACTTTTTGTATAATATTCAAACATGAAGACTCACCTTTGGGGGCTAAATGAATAGGTGCATGGTAAATATGTAAAAATGTACATAAATATGTAAATATATGTAAAACAAAGAGTATATTTCTAAGAGTCTGCCATTAAATTATACCGACTTTGAATTATTTCTTACAACCCAAATGCAAGCCTAAAGAAATGAAATTATCTAATTTCTAATGTACGAAATTTCCTGCACATTTTTCTGAGTGTAGAGAGCCATGGCCAAGAGAGAGAATTGACCGCAATTATGCGATAAAGATAAAACAATGTGGTGTCATTTTTATGGTTCTTTTTGGATGGTCGGAAGGTCCGACGCAGGCACAGGCACAGGCACACATATCAGGCTGTGGCTGCACCCAAGGTGCGGGAGAGAGAAGGTGATAATCTATAATTGCCCTTGCTACAACAATTGTTCCTTTAATTCCACCGCCACCGCCGACGATGACGACAACGACAACGACGACGACGACCACGAAACAGACAAAGAAATTGTGTCCTACTGTCGCGGGGCTGGCAGGACGGGGATGGGCATGGGACACGGA